CCGGCCAATCTTGATATAATGCTTAGTTTTAAACCATGATCTGGAATCTTACCGCCTCATATTCGTGCCACTGAAAAAAATAAAAAAAAATATTAAAAAAAATTCAAAATGACAAACCATAACACATTGGAAAGGAATTCTGGAATGCAAAAAGGACAAAATCGGAACACATTTAAAGAGAGTTCTGGTATGCAAAAACATAAGAACTGGAACACTTTCTAGTACACTTCCGGTCAAGATATGAACAAATCGAAAAATTACTAAAATGAGTTCCGGCGCACATGTTAAAAACCGAAGACATGATTATTGAGTTCCAGTAAACTTATAAAATCGGAACACTTGATGTGTTCTAGTGTGTAATTTGAGAATCAAAAGTCTTGTGAGATGTGTTCCGAATTTGTTCACGATGTCCCTTCACTTGAGAATAGACTTCATAATCCACGACATCCCTTGTTTTTCCTGCACTTATTGGATGTTAGTATTTTTGAAATAGAATGAGTGTATCCATTTAGACCACATTGAATCTTTCTTGTTACACATATTCCATAACATCTTTGTTATGATGGCCTTATTCCATTCGCTTAAAGATCTAGCAATCAACCCACCATTTCGCCTCAGAGAGCAAACCCTATTTCAAGCAATGGGAGATTTGTTTGATTTCATGTCGTTGCCAGTCCACAAGAATGTCCTACAAACAAACTCAATGGCTTGAATCACCTTCTTAGGGAAAGGAAGGCAATTCATCCAATAGGCAGACATAGAAGCAAGAGCGCTAATGATCAATTGGAGCCTACCAACATAACTCAGCATCTTAGAGCTCCAATTAAGGATTCGACTAATAATTATGTCCACCAGACTCATGTAGTGTTGGGTAGAGAGTCTCTTGCTAGTGAAGGGAATTCCCAAGTATCTAAATGGTAAATCCCCTTCCATGAAAGAAGTAACAGTAAAAATGTCAGCTTTCACCTCATTAGCCACACCCCTAAGATAAACCTTACACTTAATAGGATTTACCACTAAACCCGTGGATCTGGAAAAGGCTTGGACCTGATCCATAAGAAGCTCAACTGATTTGCAATCACTACGGGCAAACAACAAAACATCATTTATGAAATTGATATTAATGATTTGGTGTTTTTCACACTTAGCATGGAAATTGAAATTTAGGACCTTTTTAAGCTTATGCGCCAGGATGTGGAAGTATTTCATGACCAACACAAAAAGGAGAGGAGATATAGGGTCACCTTGTCTAAGGCCCCTCTTAGCCTTCATACTTTTAGTAATTCTGCCACCAACATTAAACTTGTAGAAAACTGTTGAAACAACCAGCATAGTCCATTTTATGAATTTGTGAGGGAAACCAAACTCTTTTAGAATACTCTCCAAAGCATACCAGTTAATAGTATCATAGGCCTTTTGAATGTATAGCTACAACAAACATCTAGGTGTCCCATCCTTTCTGTCGTACCCACGGATCAACTCATAGGCTAGTAACATATGGTCATGGATGTTTTGTCTAGGGATGAAAGCAACCTGACTCTGATTGACTATACTAGTGAGGACCAAACTCAATCTACTATTCAAGACTTTAGATATGATTTAGTAAAAGTGGTACAACAAGATATAGGTCTAAAGTCCTTCACACACTTACCACCATTACCTTTAGGGACCAAAGTCACCAGGGTGCAATTCACAGCAGGATACATTCTAAAATTGTTGAAGCGCTCCATAACAACAGCAATTGTATCATCCTTGATGACAGTCCAGGAGGCCTTGAAGAATTTTGCCCTAAACCCATCCACACCAGGGGCTTTCAGGTCACCGATATTCTTCAAGGCTAGGTTAATCTCAGATTCAGTGATAGGTCTCTCTAGCATGTCCCTTTGGTCAGCAGACACTTGAGGGCCATCCCTAATGGCAACAAGATCAATTCCCTCAAATTAACTACTAGGACTCCCCATGACACTACCATAGAATTGTAAGACCTCATTCTCAATCTCAGCATGTATGGTTAGAAGAGTACCATCGGTCTTGTATAGGGCAGAAACATCACAAAGATTTTTCCTATTTTTCAGCTGAGCATGGAAATACCTGTTATTGCCATCACCCAGTCTCAGCCAGCTAATCTTGGATCTTTTCCTCAACAGTTGTTCCTCTATCTCACTCCATTTGAAAACCTCTTCAAATCTCACCTTCACAAGCTTGATTAACTCAAAATTATCAAGACCATCCTTCAGTTGTTGTTGGGTTTCCAGCAAGTTTAGCATGGCATGCTTAAGAGAATGAAAGTCTCAAACCAAAGGCTTGCTGAGGTTGTTCACAACACTCTGGGTTCTAAGCATCTTCCTCCACATAACAAACATAAGGCTACCCCTAATAGAGGCATTCCAAATTCTATCTATAGCTTCATGAAAACCCTCTACATCAGTCACACTGTTAATGAATTTGAACTGATATGTTCTTTGACTAGAATACTCAGGATTGTTCAGGTAAAGCAAGGCATGATCAGAGATGCCAGGGACATGATTTTAAGAGTCATACTTATATACTTTTGAAACCAACACATATTAGCCAATCCATGGTCAATTATGGAATAAATGGTATTGTCATTTTTCCTATTAGACCAAGTGTAGTAATCTTCTATAGTGTCCATTTCACTAAGATTTATTTTATTCATCATCTCTGTCAACTCTTTGTACTTATTCACCTGCACCAAATTCCCCCCTCTTCTATCTATAGTTTGAAGAACATTATTAAAGTCACCAATTAGGAACCAGGGGCCCTGTTGGTTCAGGTGGATGTGTTATATCTCCTCCCACAATCTCTTTCTTTGTTCCAGCTTATTGGATCCATACACAACAGTCATCCAGAAACTAAAATCCCCATTCATGTTATAAACACTACAATGGATCATTTGCATCGAACTGGTGACTTTCCTAATTTCAACTTTTGAATTATTCCACCAAATCCAAATTCTGCCATTTTGATGTTTATCATAATTATCCAAGGGCGTATCAGTTGCACTACCAATTTTACTAACCCAAAGGTGTAAAGGCAACTAAGGGAGCTTAATCCACAAAGGAATTGTTCTCAGCATATCCTCGGTCATGCTGAAGTCTGGCTTCCATTCGCGAAGCATTACAGGCCTGTTATGCATCGAATAAGGCCCTTTCATCAGCATTGAGTCCTTATCATGGAATGAATGAAATCTCAAGATGAAAAACCCTTCCTCGTTGTAGAACATATCCGGCAATTTCACGAAATTCTAGTTCTTCAACATAAATTGCTTCACTGCGTTCATACTTAGATCTTCACCCAGCACATACATTATGAGAGCAGATTCCCAGAATTTCACTTCAAATTCAACACCAGCTACTTCAATTTCAATTTTCACTTCTCCATCAATTATCTTTGGTGCGACAAACTCCATAGTCAATCTCTTTGCCGAATTGCAATTTTCGTTGATAATGTCTACCCATAGTTTCTTCTTCGCTTGACTTGACATAGGACTATCACTACAACATTTTGAATATACAACAACACAAAAAAACCATTGCAAAATCCAAAAAAGTCGTTGCCTTTACATATGAGAACGGTTTTCAGGAAGTTCTAAACCAAGGCATTGTTTTAGCCTTTAGGAACGGTTATTTAGCCAACGGCAACGCCTTGTTCAGAGCCGTTGCTGTAATTTTATATAGAGAACTGTCTAAAACAGCAACGGTCGGACTCCGTTTTCAAATTTAAACCGTTGCAATTGTTGTTTATTAGAGAACGGCTATTTTATGGAATATAGCAACGTATCTTAGCCGTAGCCTATTCTAAACCGTTCTAATAGAGGCTTATGTTCATTTTTTCTTCATAGGTTATAGCAACGCCTTCTTTACTACAAACACACTTTATAACTGTTGCAAAAAAACTTATTTTATTTTATAAACCAAATAATTTTTTTTTAATAAAATAAAATTTTATTTTATTTTATAAACCTGATAATAACATCATTCACAATTTTTTTTATATAATAATATTCAAATACAAATTTTAAAATGATCTTGCATTTAAAAAAAATACATGACATAATCCATTTAAATATCATAATGTCAACCATTGATTCACAATCAACAAAACATCTTCAAATTACATATCCCAATGTCAATCATCATTCATAGTCATAATAACATCTTTAATCTATAAAATTAAACTTAAACATCTACATCTACGTTTTTTCATCTTCAAATTCAAAATCTTCATTGATATTATCATTCATGACCTGCAAAATAAAAATAGTATAACTTAAATAAGATTATTATTCGAAGGATCTAAAATAAAATAATCCACTCCAAGTAAATAATCCACATATATAATGCACAAGCAACACATACACAAGTATTCACATGGTCACATATATAATGCATATGCTCTCTTTTAATTTTTGCAAATATTGTCTAACTTCAGCAGCATGCTCTCTTTTAATTTTTGCAAATATTGTCTAACTTCAATAGCATGCTCTCTTTTAAATTGTCTAACTTCTTTATCTTGACAGTTGTTAGTGCCATGTAACTGCCGAGAACAATACCAGTTGCAAATATTTCCTTTAGTTTCCAACTGTCAGGCAGTGGAGATGGTTTCACTCTATCTTTTGAAATTGTCGTGATGGTACCTTAATATAAGCTAGTGTTAAGACTTTTACTATGGTTAGAAAATGTAGAACTAACCTGAAGTAATGAAAATGCTATCTTATTCTTACCATCATTCAGTATTGCAATGATCAAAACCATGAAAGGTGTAAAATCAAATTTCCAAATCAAAGCAATCAACATGAAACGGAACTATCAAAATGAAAAAAGAACGGTTATTAAGTATATTTACGATTTAAAGGGTAAGTACATAGAAAAAAGTCACTAAATTCAACACATACCACAATACGGATGGTGATTGACACAACATAAATCTGTTGGATGGCTGTAGCAATTCCACCGGCGTTGACCTCGGCGAGTCTTTTGTCAACATAGAATGCAGCTTTTTGATGAGTCTTTTGTCAACATAGAATGCAACTTTTTGATGCAGCTTTTGAGTGAAAGTGGCACTGTCAAACTAGGAGGAAATTTATCTGTAAAGGAAATGAGAGTCCACGTCAATCTATACTGCACATTACTATTATTAATAGTTCTTGAGTTATACAACAATTCATGGGAATCGTATCTCGGTTTGAAACAAAATTGAACCTATTTTAGACATGAATATCACCGAGTCTCGTTTCAGTACAATGAATCCAGTATTCATTCCGATGAATTGTTACCAAAACATAGTGTAGTCAGCCTTTATTTTGTCAACTTTGCATAATCAGCCACGTTTGATTTTTCATTTTCGTACAACAGACATTTCTTTCTCCTATGTAACTGCCGCGTATCATAATTCAACATAAACTAGTAAAGTAGAGTACCTCCCACACTTTGCTTCCATAGCCACTCTGATACTGCAGAATCATACGAAGCAACGTGCTGAAAAGCTTTCCATGCAAGCTTTAGCCTGAAATGATCGTCTTGGTTTCCTTTAAGAAATTCCAGAAGCGCAGGGTAGTCTTCCGTATCAACAACTATCAAAACATCTTTGTGATTCTGCGCAAATACAATAGACAGTATACAATGAACAAGGGTCATTTATATTCTAATGTTCAATGTATTAAGCCAACAAAACATTTTCTGAACCATTTTACATAACTTTTTTTAATGACGAAATCATTTCATATTATAAAAAGATGAAATTTTCAGTCAAATAAACAACCTTTGCAGCAGCTCGAATCATGGTTGGACCACACTATTTTACTACAACACCACTATGCTATTTGCTAACGTTTCGCACTAAATAAAGATTTGTTCAAATTCTGCTACGCAGCATTCGCTATTTGACAACACAGGTTAAAACAAAGCGGATAACATAATAATTTGCCGATTCCATGTGTACTGAGAGCATCAATATGATGTTTTTGGTCTCTTCGAGCAAGGATGCCTCCATGTATGTTAGGGTGTAGAGTTTTGACACGGCCATCAAGCTGTGTAGAAAAGTCATTGCATTCATTGTTAGTAATTCTGCTAAAAATCACACAAACCGAATTTAAACGAGATTTCAAAGCCGAATCAAGTTACAAGTACACTCACCATTTCTTTATTTCTTCAAAAGGTGAGTGATTGAAACTCCATTTCTTCAATATCATATAAACAGAAATCAAATTACCTCTTGCCTCTCAATGTGTCCTTGTTGTTTCAGATCATACAATCTGAACAAAACTGCAAGAAATGAAAGTTAGAAATCCACAACAAGCAAGCATATGAATTAAGATGGTAAAGTCATTTTGTTACACTTACAATCAATCTTATCATCCATTGATGCAATTGGATGAAAAACAGGCAACGCAGATGCAAACTCTTTGAAATCAAGTACTCCATGATGGTTTGTGTCAAACAAGTCAAACACCTACATTGTTTCATCATTTTTTCCCAGTGTTTCCTTCCCTCGTTCATTCTCTTCATCCTCCTCCGACTGACTTGAGCCACCCGAAGCTTCGTGTAGAACATCTACCTTCACATTGTTTTCCCCAATGTGTCACTCTAAACAGCGGTAGCCGCCGCCAAAACGTTTGTTGACGGAGGCACTAATCGCCCACGCCCTCTACCTCTCCCGCGCGTCATTTCCTATTGAATTCACTTTTATCATTATATTTATTTATAGTATTATTCATGTGTTTGGTTGGTAGTTTAATTTTCAAAACATATTTATAAAATATATTTAATTTAAAATTAAAGATAATTTTTTTTATTATTTCTTACATGTGCGCGTTAAATAAAACGAATGGATGAATATGAAAATACTTTTCACAAAATTTGCAATAAAACGAACGGATCAATTATGTTCTTTTCGGTATGCTTTTAACAATAAGCTATACTTAGAAATGCTATACGACAAAGTAATAATGACTAATAATTTTGAAACCATCTATGAGATATGGCAGGCTCGGAATAATAGTATTTTTGGAGAAAAGTCGGAGATCACTACTATAGGAAGCAAAGTCATAGAAACTTTAGTGTATAGAGGGTGGAACACTAAAAAACTTAGGAAGTATATAACTATTTTAGTGATAGAGGGGGGTTAGATAGTTTAATAGCTGTTTTTTTTTCTCTTTTGGTCCTAGATTGTCTTGTTTATAGCTGAATCCAATGGGATCGCTTGTAGCTATCGACTTTTTTGAGTAATATAATTTTACTTTCAAAAAAAAATAATAACTAATAATTTTTTTAAAGTATATATTTATATTTACTACGTAACAAATTTTTATAAAACTCTAAGTTTATGTATCCTATTTATAAATTTATAGTTAAAATAAATTAAATTTAGTAAAGAATATATTTAAATTATTTATTATTAATATAATACTTGAAGATATAGTCAAATTATTAATTAAATTAGTAAGTGAAAATTAGTTAACAACTTAGTTTGTATGAAGATAATTTCTTAAACAAAATATTTTATATTTAAAAAAAATAAAATATTAGTATGTTAATAATTTAGTATGTAAAAGTTTTTTAAAAAATAAATTAGTAATTAAGTTTTAAATATATGTTATTTAGTGATGAAATATTTATTTTTATATTTTTATATTTTTATAATTATACCTAAATTTTATTTTTTACAAATTTTAAAACTAAAAATTTATTTATTAGAATAATATTTTAAAAGTAGACTATATAAGGCAACTACATAATGGTTGGTGTGTAGTGAGTGTAATGTGTTCATGAGCATGTAGCTATATATGTAATGAGCACCTAATATAATTACTCGTTATGTTTTTGTTTAGATGAAAAGAGAAATATGGTATCAAAATCAAAACCTCAAAGCTTCACTTGGTGTTTCTTTTTTGTGAGTTTAACTCTTTTGAGTCGTAAAAGATTAAAAAAGACAATTAATTTTTTTTTAATATATATGAATTAGATATGTTAATACCAGATGTAAGTCTAAAATATTTACACAAACCTCAACTATTAATATAAATTAATTAGAAAATTATATAAGTAATATAGTTTTAGGAAAAAAAAATAAACATTTTTTTTTATTTTTTATATTATTTAATATGATTGTTTGATTCTATCATATAAATAGTTAAAATTTAGTATAAAATTTTTAAACTTATATATATATATATATATATATATATATATATATATATATATATATATATATATATATATATATATATATATATATATATATATATATATATATATATATATATATATATATATATATATATATATATATATATATATATATATATATATATATATATATATATATATATATATATATATATATATATTTTTTTTTTTTTTTCAAACACAAAATATCTTGAAGTGTTATTCAATTCTAAATATTTATCAACATAGATAGTATAATTAATACATATTTTTAATTAAAATTATAATAGCATGTAATTTTGATGTCTGGCCATTACAAAGCACTTTAAAAAATGTAAGTAAATAAATCCTTCACATAATACGTATTTCCTTATCCTAAGCTTCTACACCCACAAATGAGTATACCTTTATGGCCTACCAAAGCCAAACATCTTTAGCTATAAATATCACCATTCCTTTGCATTTTATTTTCATTCATAACCAAATCCTCTCATCCATTCCTATATACACCTAGCTTCCTCTTCACACCATGCAAACTCCATTTTCTAATCACATCATGGATAAACTCTTATTCAATTTTAGCATTGCATACTTTCTCTTTCTTTCTCTCTTGTCAGTGCATGCCAATCAATTATCATGCACTCAAACACCATACCCTCTTGTCTGTAACCATTATATTGGTACCACCACTACAAATACATTATCAACCATTGATTCTTCTTCATTCCATGATATTGCCATTAAGGTTACCATGGACCAAGCTATTCAAGCATACAAACTTGTGTCAACCATGGATTTGAATCATTTCAAAGACAGTAGAGCCAAGTCTGCATGGGAAGATTGCCTAGAGCTTTATGAGGATACAATTTATCAACTTAATCGCTCCATTAACTCAAACAATTTAAATGACAAATTAACTTGGCAAAGTGCTTCCGTTACCAATCATCAAACTTGCCTAAATGGTTTCATTGATTTCAATCTTCCCTCCCACTTAAACTACTTCCCTTCCATGTTAACCAACTTTACTAAACTGCTTAGCAATTCATTGTCCATTACCAACACTTTAGCATCTTCATTATTGTCGTCCTCGTTGCCAAATACTAAACAAAATGGAGGAAGAAGATTGTTATCAGATAGATTTCCACATTGGCTATCAGGTTCAGATAGAAAACTTCTACAGACGACACCAAGCGCTGATATTGTGGTGGCACAAGATGGAAGCGGGAACTATAAGACAATCTCAGAGGGCGTAGCAGCTGCCAAGGGAAGTGGAAAAGGAAGAGTAGTAATTCATGTGAAAGCAGGTGTATATAAAGAGAACATTGATATAAAGAAGACAGTGAAGAACATAATGATATTCGGAGATGGAATGGATTCCACAATTGTCAGCGGTAATCATAACGCTGAAGATGGTTCTACTACCTTCCGTTCAGCTACTTTTGGTAACTTCTTAATTATTTTCAATCACTTATCTAATTTGTATAATTATATAAATAACATATTCTACATGCAAATATCACTCAGCTGGCCTCAATAATTAAGATAGGGACATCTTCATAAACTTTTTGTCATATATATTAATTAACAATAAAAGATAAAGATAAAGACTTCAATGTATCTTTTATCTGAAAACAGATTATATTTTTCTTTTTTTTGCCCTTACTTTCTTTAATCACATGAATATAAATTAAACCCAAAATTCTAACCTTTAAATAATGAATAATTACGGCAGCTGTTATGGGAGATGGTTTCATAGCAAAAGACATGACCTTCGAGAACACTGCCGGACCACAAAAACACCAAGCGGTGGCTCTCCGTTCCGGTGCCGATCACTCCGTTTTCTACCGTTGCTCCTTCAAAAGCTACCAAGACACTTTGTACGTGTATGCCAACCGTCAATTCTACCGTGACTGTGACATCTACGGAACAGTCGATTTCATCTTCGGGGACGCCGTAACCGTTCTTCAAAACTGCAACATCTTTGTCAGAAAACCGATGAGCAACCAACAGAACAGCATAACGGCACAGGCAAGAAAAGATCCAAACGAGAATACCGGAATAGTGATCCATAACTGCCGTATAACCGCGGCAGGTGATTTGAAACCATATCAAAATTCAGTGAAAAGTTATCTTGGTAGACCATGGCAGAAGTATTCAAGAACGGTAGTTATGAAAAGTAACATTGACGGTGTTATAAACTCTCAAGGTTGGGCTCCATGGAGTGGTGGATTTGCTTTGAGCACACTTTACTATGGTGAATATATGAATATCGGTGACGGTGCTAATACAGAAGGGAGGGTGAATTGGCCTGGTTTTCATGTAATTACAAATCCTTCAGAAGCAGTTAAATTTTCGGTTGGTAACTTCTTGGCTGGTGAGTCATGGATATCTGGTAGTGGTGTGCCATTTGATGCAGGTCTGTGAAAGAGAGTGATTGATCATCATGTATAGTGGAGAAGAGTCTTCAAAAAAGGGATGGTAAATGAGTGGTGACAAATGACAATTATTGTGATGTAGTTTTCGTTGGGTTTTCGTTTGTACAAAGGTTATGAAAAGATGCTGTACTTTGTCTGGCTATATATGTCTTAGAGTCAACTATAGGAACTATACATATGGATTATGGACTAAGATAAGTAGTTATTTATTACGTTTAGTTTCCTTAAGAAAAAAAGTAGTGTAATTTATTTTGTATATGCACCGATTCATATATGTATAAAAGTCCTTCTATTTTATTAAATAAATAATTTTTACATATATCTAAAATAAAAGTCCTTCTATTTGATTAAAAAATAATTTTTATATATATTTACTCTCTCTATCCTAAATTATAAAATCACTTTATTAAAAAAAAAATTGTTTCAAATTATAAATCACCTTACACTTTTAATATAATATTAATGACATTTTTTTCCAATATAGCCTCAAATATTTATTATTATTTATTTGTTCAACATTTTTAATTTCTCTCTTCTGTGTAATTATAAGGAGCATTACTATAAAGTCACAGATAATTTGTCTTTTTCATAAAGTAATAATTAAGTTTCTTAATTAATGTGAAACAAAAATTATAAAGGGGTAGCAACCCTAGGTTGGTAAGGATTGTCAAAGATTTTAATATTTTCAATATTATAGTAAACTCACAAGGGTGAGAAGCTATGCTATTGGGGTGCTTCTCTGCGTGATTATCAGATTGTCACCTCTCAATTCTAAGGTTGAGATTTTTAAAGGTTGGTGGGTTTGGATTTAAAGGCTCCTAAGAAGTAGCAATTGTTCCACCTTGACCGCGAAACTCGTTGATTGCCTACTTCTTAGGGAATCATGCGCAACACTTCTTCCACACTTGGTTATGGACTATATACACGTCACCACCCTTTCTTTCTTACTAGGGCGAGCTATTTAGTGAGTGAAAGTCATGCTTAAGCGGCACACTAAGACGAGTGCCTAATCGGGCGAGTCCCTGCGTTTCCCCATGCAAATCTTTCATAAATATACATTACATAGTAACTCAAACACGAGGACTTGTAAAGGGAGAAGTGATTAAACTCATCATCCACGTAGTTTTGAAACCTTTCATTCCTTCCTAACGAGTTTAAAAGATATAGTAGACTCCCTTAGTTAGAGGTGAGCCCATTAGTTAGGGGCAAGTTTCTCAATTAGAGGCGACTCACTAGGTTAGAGGAGAGTCCCTCAATTAGGGACGAGTCCCTCGGTTAGGGGTGAGTCCTCAGTTGGAGGCGAGTCCCTCAGTTAGAGGTGAGTCCCTCAATTAAGGGTGTTGTGATGAGGGCCTTAAGTACGCCTCTAGGTGTCACATGAGTGTTATATTATCAATTAGTAATTGAAATTTAATCGTTTAATGGGAAAGTAAATTTTTTAGCATTTAATGCTGCTCATTATGGTTTTCCTTGGGAAACCTTGTCTAGCCTTTTACTTATGTGTGTCCTTGACGTGTAAAACTCTTTTCACTTCTTGCAACTGATGTGGTGCCAGGCAAGTAAGTTTCTTATGTTCTTGGTTTTTCCTTATAAAAGGACTTGATTTGTTTTTCTGAAAAACCTTTTCCCGTCCCTCTTGTTTTAGGATTTCCATTGTTCAACACAAGAGGTTAATAGGTGCTATGGCGGTTTTTTTTATTTTATCTTTAAGCTCGTATAAGAGAGGATAAATGAACATGATGCATTAGGCTTTTAGAGATTAGAGTACTTATGATGTATTGATTGCAACTTTCTAACCTCTTCCATTTCTTATCAGGAAATGTTCGCTAGAACGAATATGACTCGTATAAGATCACAAGTTTTTGTCGAAATATTGAGTTCTTAAATACAGGACACAAAGAGGATGTAATCTTGGAGTTATGTTCAGAAATGGTAAAAGCTAATATGGCTAATTTCGTTGGTTTATCTGCCTCTTATTTTTACTTGCAACTCCCTGTCATTCATAAATTGAGGGTATTAATGCCTTTTTCACCATTTAAAGTTGATTTTCTGGTGATTGCTTATGTTGCTCCCTCCCATATCACGCCGAGCGTCTGGAACATCACTAGGGCCTTTGAGATCATTTGTCGCCATATGGGCATCCTCCCTACTATTGGGGTATTCTTTTCTTTTTTATAGCATAAAGGTCCTCCTCACAAATGTTTGGGTAACTCTACGTTCTTTTTCGGGCATCGGTTTGTTGGAGCCTTACGTGGAGCCTGGTAAGGATTAGAAAAATAAGTACGTGAGACTTAGAGGCGAGATGATGCTTCTATGATGACCCTAAAAGTGACATACGTCTCTCATTTTCCTCTGTTGTGGATAAACAAATCTCAGCATATCAAGGGAATAAACTCTAGTAGCCTTTATCCTCTTGAGCAAAAGGTGATATAGGTGTTTATCTACTTCCAGACTTTGAGCTCTGGTACTCTAATCACCCTCAATCAAGGAAATGACAAGAGGTATCTATGTATTTGGGCCAGCTTGTGGCCTTATAGGAATCCTCTTACTCTCTCTCTATTTCTCTCTCTCTCTCTCTCTCTCTCTCTCTCTCTCTCTCTCTCTCTCTCTCTCTCTCTCTCTCTCTCTCTCTCTATCTATCTATCTATCTATCTATCTATCTATCTATCTATCTATCTATCTATCTATCTATCTATCTATCTATCTATCTATCTATCTATCTATCTATCTATCTATCTATCTATCTATCTATCTATCTATCTATCTATCTCATTTCTTTACACATTTTGTGTTTTTGTTTTGCTGGGGAAATGTCTAGAATCTCACTCGCCAAAAGGATAGAACACTTGGTTCAGATGTAAGCTGAACATCAACTGACGATCCTCTCTTAAGATTGCCTTGGAGGTTTGCTGGCAATTGAGAAAATGAGGTAGGGCAATGTATGCCTTGAGGGTGATGCTTGTAACACCCTACTTCCCGACTCGACAAATAATTAAACAAAACATGTATAACAAAAATATCTTCCATGTAGGATGCTACTCAACTTCAACAAAACATATATGAACCACATGATAATAAATCTTGATTCATTTGATAAGTAGCAAAATTATGAAATAGTTGACATAAAAAGCCTTAACAACAATAAGATAGAAAAAAAAAGCGGTCCAATATCCAATTAGAGAAAAAGATATGTGATGACACTTCATCATTGCATCTAATTAGTCAAAGAATCGGGGAAAAACCTGCGAAAGAGGAGCTAAAATGATGAAGAAATACCCAAGAATGAATGAAGAATAGCCAAGTATGGAAGAATAAGACTTAGTGAAAATTCTGGTTCAAAAAGGGTGAATAATACGTAGCTACTAGAATAATCATGTGTGCCATCACGCATTATCGCGTGCGCGATGCTTATATAATGCGTGTGATGGGTTCTTTTCTGGGCCTTTTTTTGACGCGCTCTGAGTGCTTTTTAAGGGGATTTTCAGCAGTTTGACAAGAGTTAGGAACTTTGGAGGCTAGGGCACGATTTTAAGAGCACAAATGGAGATTTTTAGAGCATTTGAAGCCACTGCAGGCCATTTCTTAAAGGGAATTCTTATGTTATTTTCATCTATCGATGTGGTATTATTTTCTGAATAATGTGTAACTAAAGTCTCTTAGGTTAGGTTGTGTTGTGTTGAACCTATTTCTATATTGTTGGATTATATGTTGATTTGCCATTGTATGAACCTATTGATCTATAATTTTATTCAGTTGTTTCTTAATCTTAATGCTTTTTATTTGAGATACTCTGTTAATCTGATTTTGGACACATAAAGATTACTGACCCTTAGCCTACGTGTTGGACCTAGGGTAATTGTTCTACTTACGTTGGTCGAATAGGGATAGGAGACCCCGAGAAGTGGCATAGAGAATTAACGTTCTATATATCGCCTAACCTTGCTTACGTTGGTGGACTAGGGATAGAAAGCTTCGGGTAGTGGTTAGTGAGTTATTTCGTGAGGGATCGACTATAACGGTTGTGTTAATTCTCCGTTGGGTTATATTGATTAGATAATTCATACAGGACATCAAACATCAACAATAGATGAATAAAGGATTCTATAACACAACTTGACGGCTTTCGTGACACTATTTACTCGTTTAATAATTTTTTCCCACTGAGACTTGCAAACCCCCTATTTACTATTTTTCTTTATATTGCACAAATCTTGTCTTTTTTGAACACAACCCTCGTGGGTTTGATCTTTTTATTACTGTGAAATTATCGGTACACTTGCCGAGAAGTCAACATGTTTTTGGCGCCATTGTCGGGGACTGTTATTGCAACAGAGAAACGATTTGTGCAACGTTTATTTTTCTTAATTTATTTTATTTTTAGTTTTAGGTTTTATTGCATTTTGTTTAATTTCGTGTTTATGATAGTACTACTAAGGTATTATTGTTTGGGTGCACACAACTCAGGTGACAAGAACACTGATCATGGCTGGACCAATAACACAAACTATAGGGGACTATTGTAGGCCCACTGACGCATCACAAGTTCCCTTAGGTTTTATTCTGGAAAATCATGTGCATTTCAACATCAAATACTTCGTGTTGTCAGGCTTTAGAGATAAAAAAATTCAATGGAAACGCAACTAATGACCCGTGGGAACATTTATCCAGATTCTACGGGATAACATTGATGTGTCAACTAGAAGGTATTACAGAGGATCAAGTTAAGTTAAATTTATTCAGCTTCTCGTTGACCGGAAGAGCGAAAGATTGGCTATTATGTCTTCTAAATGAAGTAATTAACACTTGGAGAGAATTGGAAGACAAATTCTTGGACAGATTCTTCACTACAACATAATTCACAAAAAGAAAAGCATAAATTACCCAGTACGAGCAGCAAGAGACAAAATCTCTATATGCTGTGTGGGAAAGGCTTAAATTGTTATTGTGAAGGTGCCCTAATCACAATATGAGCAATATGGAACAAATGCC